GTTACGTGCAGACACGTATATCATAATTGGATTCGTAAGTTGTATATTGATCTACGTGTTTGTGTGTATTAAATGGTATATATATATATATATATATATATATATATATATATATATATATATATATATATATATATATATATATATATATATATATATATATATATATATATATATATATATATATATATATATATTGACCTCGCTCCACATGACGATCTATACAAACAATTCATTTCTGATTTACAGCTGCCATGTACAGAGGTCCGTCATACATGTTTATAATCTATAGAGATGTAATATAATGGTTCATTTTTATGTATAAAATGAAGCGGAACACAGAAAATGATGATGAGTTTGGTGCATATATTAACTAAAAAAATATGTCAGAGTTGGGATTTTATTGAAACATATTCTTTAAAATTTGAAATCCCAAATAACATATTTCTGACAGGACTCTGTTATATAATAGCATATAGGTAAACCTGAACTATAACAAGCACCATAAGTTACCGCTGGATATTGACAAAATCCAGAAGATAATGTGGACCACAGTACAGTTGTTCCCGGTGACCGCTGCTTGTGGTAGGAAATTGATCAACGGAATCGATTTCTTATCCCAGAAAATCTAAGCAATGTCTTGTAATGAGAATGTTGATATCTGAACATCTTAGAGGATTCCGATGGTTCTATAGAGGGGATTTCATCTTTAAGTCAGGATCCCAATGATGAATCCTGCAGGTCTTATCTTCCGTCACCAGAGGGAAGGAAAGTTTCCTGTGTCGTCTTAGTCCAGTTCAAGGAACTCGCGAATTGAGGCCGTTCTCTTTGTTGATCCTGAAAGCCGAGGTTCAGGGAGGCCATCTTGTACAGACTGAGATATCCACGAATGTTCATACACAATAACTGCTCCACTTTTTTTGTGAAATGTTAACAGCAATGATTATTTCCTCGACTTTGATATGTTATTCCGCCATAATCAAGTTCTCTTTTTCAATCTACAGATGCCTCGTTAGTGGCAGGTGAAGACTGTGGTAACCGGAGGTCATCCTCTAAAGGCTGTCGACCCAGCTTGTTATCGTGACGTGTGGGGACATCTGTGTCGTAAACACTGATGCAATATTTTGTCAAAATATGATATTTTCTCTTATCTTTTAATTAAAAATTTTCCTGTGAAACAATAAAGTATAAAATGGATCACATTAGTCATGTTAACTGAGAAGAGAATAAAGAATAAAGCTTGTACTCGAGACTTTTACTGCAATTAGTAAACTGTGGATCACCCGCGGCACACAAAACAGGGAACTCTTTCTCCCGATAACAAAAACTAGAGGTCGTCTACCAACCAGTGACTACACGTGCGTGGAAAATGACGTCAGGTTTTTGTAACGCTAAGTATCGCTACAAAACTGAAAGGCTCTTGGAGAAATGGCGGCACACAGGGCTGTTGACCCATGTGCTTGTTGTCTTGCTGCAGCCTGGATGTAGAACAGCAATTTTATGTTGTTAATAATGGTGTAATAAGTTTCTTCATTTTTTTTTAGTTCTTCAAAGCACTCATAAAACATTACCTTCCTGAATCATGAAAATTTTCATTAGAGATGAACGGTAAATGTAAGTAATTAATATTCATTACATACAGGTGATACTTCCTTGAGAACTTGTAACTGGTTTAGGGTATTAAAATTACCTTTACAACTTAATTATTCTCGCACTTGACTGAAATTATGTCTAACTGAAGTCCGTTGGAGAAGAAGTTTTCGGAAACTGACGTAAACTGGTCTGTAGTCTTTGAGTCTGTTCATATATATATATATATATATATATATATATATATATATATATATTAAGCGATAGTCACTACAAAAAAATGCCAAACCCCCAAATATAACCGGACAAGCCGCCTATAGCCCCACGTCAGCACCTGAACACCAACACAGTTCTGCAATATTCGTACAACAGAGTTGGGGAAAAATATAAATTGGCCACAACACTCCCCTGCTAGACCTCTGTGAACACGGCCACTGTGGGAGCTCCTGTCAGCTACTTCTGAGTTTGTACGTCGATGGGAATAAGTGTGTAACTGAGGTGATGGTGGTGGTGGTGATGATGGTGGTGGTGGTGATGATGATGGTGGTGGTGGTGGTGATGATGGTGGTGGTGGTGATGGATAGATAACTAGGAGGCCAAAATGAGGTCTACAGTAGTACGTTAATCCTGTATACTTACTGTAAATATGACTGTTGGGAAGTAGAGGAAGCTAACATAGGGACGATGATGACCCAGGAATCAGGCAGAGGTCGACTGGTGAGTTTGACCTGACCTGACCTGACCTAACCCGTCACAAGGTCACTAAAGTCTGGATTCTAGAAGCTCCCAGTCGTAATATTTGTTTATTCCCAACTAAAGGTGAGATAATACTCATATATTCAATACAGTCTCAGCACAATATTGATCATTTAAAACAATACTATTTTTGTTTGTTTTAAATACACTAATTTTAACTATCAAGGCGCTGGTCAAATGGCCTCAACGGACACGACAGACATACGGTTTTTATAACTGGTAAATTCATTAGAGTTACGATAAATAATTAACAGAGAGACATCAGGTGTGTGTTAAGCTGACGACAGTGTGAGAGAGTACTAACATATAAACCGGGTAGAGAGAGAGAGAGAGAGAGAGAGAGAGAGAGAGAGAGAGAGAGAGAGGTTAATTCAGTGCCCCATAGTGTGGATAGCGGCGTCGTCTCTAAGATACGTCTCTCGCCACTGAACCAAATATTACCCGCTGTAAACCCACACAACGCAGAAATATGGGGCGTATTCCAAGCCCTGGAGGCAAGTATTATACGTGTGTGTGTGTGTGTGTGTGTGTGTGTGTGTGTGTGTGTGTGTGTGTGTGTGTGTGTGTGTGAGAGAGAATGCAGCAGCAGGACCCGACCCCATGAGGTTCAAAGGGTCGGCTGAGTGGTTTAGTATGACGAGGCCGAGTTGGCCTTTACACAGGAGCCGAGAATATTGTGGAGTGGTGGGAGGGAGGGGAGATAACGGGGGAGGCATTAAGGGAGAGGGAGGGTTGTTTTGAGAGGAAGGGGTGATGTTGGGAGGGTGTGGAGTTCAGGTGGTAATGTTGGAGGGGGTGGTAGTGTTGGAGGTGGTAGTGTTGGAGGGGTGGTAGTGTTGGAGGGAGTGGTAGTGTTGGAGGGAGTGGTAGTGTTGGAGGTAGAAGCTATAAAGGTGTCGGTGAAGCAGTCAGGATAAGTAAGGTGTAGAGAGGTTGTACCGTGAAAGAGAAAGACAGAAGGCAGTGTCTGGGTGTAAGTGTATAAGGAAGGTGGGGCAGGAAAGTGTAAAAGTGTCAGGAATGTGTAGAAGAGGTGGAGCAAGATGGTGTGTACAGAGGAGGTGATCAAGGTAGTGGGTGGGAAGTCTCCAGCGCCGTCTCCGCCTGGTGATAACCGTGATGAAGGGAGGAGGGAGGGAGGCTGGTGGCGCTCCCTTATATTGCTCGGGGAGCAACAGATGCAATTTCCCAGACCCAGACAAAAAAAGTAAGATAATTTGTGTCTAGCAAGACCTGGGCGCGGCGCGTAAAGGGAGCGATACGCCTCGGGAGCGATACAATACATAAAGCTTCAACATGAATGCAATGCAACACGAGAACGAGATGCAACATAAATGCGATAGAAAACATGGAAGAGCTTCACCAGGAGGCTGACGTTGGTAAGGAGGAGACCCATTTAGGAAAGCGATGTAGCCAGAGGCAGGTTACTGGAAAAGCGATGCAGGAAGGGGATCGATGAAGCGGCGATACAGCTACATAAACAATGAAGCCGAAGAAGCGATACAAGGGACCAGTGAACCGGGTACATATAAACACAGGTCAGCTATGTAGCCATAAGGGATTCAGAAGGACGATGCAGCCAGGAAGCGATGCAGCAGGTGGACGTACAGCCAGGAAGCGATGCAACAGGTGGACGATACAGCCAGGGAGCGTGCAACAGGTGGACGATACAGCCGAGGCGTGCAACAGGTGGACGATACAGCCAGGAAGCGTGCAACAGGTGGACGATACAGCCAGGAAGCGTGCAACAGGTGGACGATACAGCCAGGAAGCGATGCAACAGGTGGACGATACAACAGGAAGCGATGCCTTAGGAGACCACGACGAAAAGACTCCGCGGCGGGCCAATCAAAGTGTGTCCCGCGAGGCGTCTGAAGTATGTGGCAAGGGGAAGAGTCTGTGGATCAGGTCACAGGTCCATGATGATCAGTCCCTCATGGCATCAAGAGAGAGAGAGAGAGGGGGGGGGGATTGTTTAAATTGTTGACATATAATAATTGTTTACCGCTTGTGATGATCGTTGTACTAGTGGCAACATTGGCATCCTAAGGACTCATATCACGGCTTTAGGTTCAAAACGCTGAGGATTTTACTGAGTCATCATAAAACAATTTTAAATAGAGGTGAAAGGGAAGAGTGGAGGAAATAAATATATATATAGAGAAAAGCGAAAAAAAAACTAACTAACATGTTGGGACGGTAGAATTGAGTTTATTGAAAAGAGGGAAAAAATCAACTGTTAAAAAAAGAACAACACACAAACAACGTCAAAACAACGAAATATAGGCAGTAAAACACACACATACACATACACACACACATACACACACGCACAGGAGAACGAAGCCAGAACTCCCAGTGGATATCTTAACACTGGTCAATATACAGGACAAGAGGTAAAGAATGAACACTGATGAACGACAACTAGTGAACGACAATTGGTGAACGACAACTGATGAACGACGACAACTGATGAACGTAAAACAAAATTTGTGTATGTCAGAAAAAAACTTGTAAACAGAATAAAAATGAGAGGCGACAGGTAGAGACTAAGAATTTATAGGAGAGGTGCTAGGGGTACTGGGAGAGGTTTAGGGTACTGGGAGAGGGTGCTAGGGAGTACTGGGAGAGGGTGCTGGGGTACTGGGAGGGCGCTAGGGGTACTGGGAGAGGGTGCTAGGGGTACTGGGAGAGGGTGCTAGGGGGTACTGGGAGAGGGTGCTGGGGAATCTGGGAGAGGGTGCTGGGGGTACTGGGAGAGGGGTGCTAGGGGTGCTGGGGAGAGGGGTGCTAGGGGTACTGGGAGAGGGTGCTGGGGGTGCTGGGAGGTGCTGGGGGTGGGGAGGTGCTGGGGGTGCTGGGGAGAGGTGCTGGGGGTGCTGGAAGGGGTGCTGGGGGTGCTGGAGGGGGTGCTAGGGGTGCTGGGGAGAGGTCTGGGGGGTGCTGGGAGGGGTGCTGGGGTGCTGGGAGAGGGTGCTGGGGGTGCTGGGGAGAGGTGCTGGGGGTGCTGGGAGAGGTGCTGGGGGTGCTGGGAGAGGTGCTGGGGTACTGGGAGAGGGTGCTGGGGGTACTGGGGAGGGTGCTAGGGGTGCTGGAGGGGTGCTAGGGGTGGGAGGGGTGCTGGGGGTGCTGGGGAGGGTGCTGGGGGTGCTGGAGGGGTGCTGGGGTGCTGGGGAGGGGGTGCTAGGGGGTACTGGGAGGTGCTGGGGGTACTGGGAGAGGTGCTGGGGTGCTGGAGAGGGTGCTGAGGGGTACTGGAAGGGGGTGCTAGGGGTGCTGGGAGAGGGTGCTAAGGGGTACTGGGAGGAGGGTGCTAGGGGGTACTGGAAGGGTGCTGGGGGTGCTGGGGAGGGTGCTGGGGGTACTGGGAGAGGGGTGCTGGGTGCTGGGAGGGTGCTGGGGTGCTGGGAGAGGGTGCTGGGGGTGCTGGGGAGAGGGGGTGCTGGGGTGCTGAGGTGCTGGGGGTACTGGGGAGGGTGCTGGGGTGCTGGGAGGGTGCTGGGGGTGCTGGGGAGAGGTGCTGGGGTGCTGGAGGGGTGCTGGGGGTGCTGGGAGGGGGTGCTGGGGGTGCTGGAGGTGCTGGGGTGCTGGGAGGGGTGCTGGGGGTGCTGGAGGAGGTGCTGGGGGTGCTGCTGGAGGGGGGTGCTGGGGGTGCTGGGAGAGGTGCTGGGGGTGCTGGGGGAGGGTGCTGGGGTGCTGGAGGGGGTGCTGGGGTGGGGAGGGTGCTGGGGGGGGGTGCTGGGGAGGGTGCTGGGGGGTGCTGGGAGAGGGTGCTGGGGTGCTGGGGAGGTGCTGGGGAATGCTGGGAGGGTGCTGGGTGCTGGGGAGGTGCTGGGGTGCTGGGGAGGGTGCTGGGGGTGCTGGGAGGGTGCTGGGGTACTGGGGAGAGAGGGTGCTGGGGGTGCTGGGGAGAGGGGTGCTGGGGTGCTGGGAGAGGGGTGCTGGGGTTGCTGGGGAGAGTGCTGGGGTGCTGGGGAGGTGCTGGGGGTGCTGGGAGGGTGCTGGGGGGTGCTGGGAGGGTGCTAGGGGTGCTGGGAGGGTGCTGGGGTACTGGGAGGGTGCTAGGGGGTACTGGGAGAGGGTGCTAGGGGTGCTGGGGAGGGTGCTAGGGGTGCTGGGAGAGGTGCTGGGGTACTGGGAGGGGTGCTGGGGGTGCTGGGAGAGGGGTGCTAGGTGCTGGAAGAGGTGCTGGGGGTGCTGGAGAGGGTGCTAGGGGTGCTGGAGGGTGCTGGGGAATGCTGGGGAGAGGGTGCTGGGGTGCTGGGGAGAGGGGTGCTGGGGTGCTGGAAGAGAGGGTGCTAGGGGTACTGGGAGGGGGTGCTGGGGTGCTGGGAGAGGGTGCTGGGGTGCTGGGAGGGTGCTGGGGGTGCTGGGGGAGGGTGCTGGGGGTGCTGGAAGGGGGTGCTGGGGGTGCTGGGAGAGGGTGCTGGGGGTACTGGGAGAGGGTGCTGGGGGTACTGGGGAGAGGGTGCTGGGGGTGCTGGGAGAGGGTGCTAGGGGTGCTGGGGAGGGTGCTAGGGGTGCTGGGAGAGGGGTGCTGGGGGTACTGGGAGAGGGGGTGCTGGGGGTACTGGGAGAGGGTGCTAGGGGTACTGGAGAAGGGTGCTAGGGGTACTGGGAGGGGGTGCTAGGTGCTGGGAGAGGGGTGCTGGGGCTGGGGTGCTGGGGTGCTGGAGGGGGTGCTGGGGGTACTGGAGGTGCTGGGGTACTGGGAGGGATGGTGCTGGGAGAGGGTGCTGGGGGTACTGGGAGAGGGTGCTAGGGGTACTGGGAGAGGGTGCTAGGGGTACTGGGAGGGGTGCTAGGGGTACTGGGAGAAGGGGCTGGGGTACTGGGAGAGGGTGCTAGGGGTGACTGGGAGAGGGGTTAGGGTACTGGGAGAGGTTAGGGTACTGGGAGAGGGGCTGGGGTACTAGAGAGGGTGCTAGGGCACTGGGGAGAGGTGCTAGGGGGCACTGGGAGAGGGTGCTAGGGGACTGGGAGAGGGTACTGGGGTACTGGGAGAGGTGCTAGGGTACTGGGAGAGGGTGCTAGGGGTACTGGGAGAGGTGCTAGGGGTACTGGGAGAGGGCTAGGGGTACTGGGAGAGGGTGCTAGGGTGGGAGAGAGGGTGCTAGGGGTACTGGGAGAGGGTGCTAGGGGTACTGGGAGAGGGTGCTAGGGCATGAGGTGCTAGGGTACTGGGAGAGGGGCCTGGGAGAGGGGGCGTGCTAGGGTACTGGGAGAGGGTAGTATAGGGGTACTGGGAGAGTAAAAGAGCCTGGACATCGTTATAGTACTCACCAACCTTGTAGACTGGTGAGCTCATTTACCTACCTCTCAGAGAGACTCAGTGAGTTAGCACCCTTGAGACCAACCAGCCCCCTGATACCAATCAAACTACAGAGACAAGGACTAACTGGTGAACCTCAGAGTCAACACCCGAGACCAACCAGCTACTTTTTCACACATGATGGTTTGCTCACAAACACAATTGAGCTCTGCACACACCAGCTTTTCCATTATTCCCCAGACATAACATGCTTTCTACACAACACACACACACAAGCACATTGAGACAGACTTTAAGTGGCATATTACTGTTTCACTGCTGGTCAAAGAAGTTTGGACGTCTTCTGGAGAATATTGCACCAGCAAAGCCACTGGAGACAGAGACAGATTCTTTCACTCTGGACGAAGAAGAAGAATACTGATAGCAAGAAAATGACGAACGTGGAGTATGAGGGTACTTTGTCTCTGTTCATGCAGGAACCGTGTCTTACAGTTTTCTCACTTTGGCACCGGTGTTTTAATTCTTGTTGCAGCGGTAACGTGTCGTCATTGTGATCTAAGGTCAGCATCGTGTCTTACCGTAGTTAATAATGTCCCAATATAATGTCTCTACGTGACTGGGACACTTGACATGAGGTCAACAAGTACAGTACACATCTCTACCCTGGGAAGCCTGGCCTGGAATTATAAAATTGCACAGATTGTGTAGCGTTCTGGCACATAAGCCACAAGGTCATAATATAAAAGAGATTGTTGTTGTTGTTGCTTCAGCTTCTACTATAGTAATCAAGAACACTGTTCAGTAGCTTGTAATGGATTCGGTTCTGGAGACCTGAAGTAGCTGGCACTGCACTCGACCACCTTAACTTCTCCAATGATAAGTTAGGTACATATTCACATCCGGGTGCATTAAGGGTGCCTCGGGAAGGAACGAGTGACCTTTAGTTTGAGAGGAGAGCGCAGTAACCACTCAGCAGACGCACCTTAACCATAACGGTGACGCTGCGGTAACACAACATGTAGGTCACAGTATAGTGCACTGATACAACATACAAAATAAACACAACAATATAAAAAGAGCTAGCATCAAGAGATATTAAAACCGGTCCCTGTTATTGTGTTCAGTAATAATTAGGAAATAAAAAACATGTAACAGTATGAAACTGACTGTTGTGGAAACTAACGATGGATCGGGTTTTTATACACAACAGTAGCTCCTGGACATTGACCCCTGTGTGTTGTTGTTCGTCTGAAATATAAATAAGTGTTTGTGATACATAAGCAAAGGACAAATATTTCTCGCTTTATATTTTATTGTATTTTCTTGTAATTTTTGCAGCTTGGCTACAACATCCAGTCGAAAAAAATATCACTAGAATCTGATGGTAATAAAATTCATGTACTGGAATGGTTGATACGTACCCTATTGTGTGTGTGTGTGTGTGTGTGTGTGTGTGTGTGTGTGTGTGTGTGTGTGTGTGTGTGTGTGTATATATTCTACGTGGGTGAGGTTTTACATGTAAATATCAGAGGGGGAAAATTTTTGCGCTTAACTCTAAAGGGCCAATCAAAGCAATTTCAAATTACTATTTCTATATTGCTAGACTCTTGTTTAGACATGGCAAGCAAATCACATTTATAAATTTGAATATACATAACATTTAGCACACATATGGGTATATATACATTAATAAATATGAGAGTAAGTAATATACGAGTAACGACTCTTTGTGTACAATACAGACATAAAGTTATGATATTTTGCCTTTGGTTCTCAAGGAAGTATTATAGATGGCACTGAACTCCATCGCCGTCATATCCCCAAGTGTAAAGTTAGGTGTTGAGTCATTGGTGGATGGACTTGGGATGACCCGGGTGCGAACCAACGATCTCGTATATAATACTCGTATACCCACCTGTACTAGCCTGTAGATTATCTGAAACAAGCATAGCACACACACACACACACACACACACATAGCTTTCGTTACCATAGTAGTAATAAGGCAGTGTACAGTAGGTTAATATATCACAGCAGTGAGAAGAAGGGGCCGGATAACCAATACACCAATATAATGATTTATCGAAGATTCTCTACAACTATTATTTGTTACGCTTGACATGTGAAGACGGTAGTAGGCCCCAGGGGATGGAGAGGGGGGGAGGTGGGGGTGGAGGAAGGTCAGGGAGGCGTTTTGGGGAGGGGGAGAGGAAAGTATCCTTAATTATTATTTTTCTGAAATTGATTATTCCGGAAATTTATCTTCACTAACGTATTTTTTCCCACAAAATCTACAATAAATAGAAACCATTTTGTCGGACCACAGGATTATACAGTAGGTCTGAACTTCTTTATTCATGCGATACACAACAAACACACATTTAAAAGTTAACTAACGTAACATTATGAACCTCAACCTAGTGTGCTTACATGAGTGAGGCCTCTGTGACAACTTGGTATCTCAGCACAACACAACACCCGCGTCTAGTCAACACAACAAGACAAAGTAACGAGGTTTCACAACATGATACATTACCAGGGACACCACACAGGCCAGGACAATATAGCAGAGCCTTTGTGTTATTAGGTAGCTCGTGTAATTAATATTATCGGGGCTGGGCGGTAGAACTGCGTGTCAATATTCGCTAAATGGGGCAACGTTTGGCACCATGGTCCGGCCTGGTTGTTTCATCTGCCGGTAATTTACCGTTATTCATTGTGTCATTCTGCTGTGTAACTCGGTGATGGTGTTGTGTGTGTGTGTGTGTGTGTGTGTGTGTGTGTGTGTGTGTGTGTGTGTGTTTGTCCTGAACAGAACACATATCCAGAACTAGATAGGAAGTAGTACACTGCTGAAACCTTCTACATACCCCCTCCCCCAGTGTCCTCCTAACTTACGCCTCAATACCCACCTACTCTAACTTACATACAGACTGAACTTTCCACGAGTCGGAACCCATTTCCACTTTGGCATGACTCCAGCCAGCTAGCCAGTGAGAGCGAGCTGCAGTGCATCATCCAGTGGCAGGGAAGCACACTGCAGTGTTCTGGATTATGTTACTGAGCATATTAAAACTAAGTTCTTCTGACTTTAGATAAACCTTATTTTTTTGCTGCCTGATGAACCTCTAACTTAAAATCCGAGAGAAATAAGACTTGGGAAAAAGAGAAAGACGCATCGTACAATTAATGCAAGCTCAGACATTAATTACGTCTGATTAAGTCACAGGTCGTGTGTCCAGACGCCCACAGTGTCTCATAGCAGGAGGCAGATCACGCAGGCGAGGGGAGAGGGGGAGTGCCACCTGAGACCTGTGCCACACGGGCCTCAGGTGGACCTAATGCAGGTAAAAAAATAATTAGCGCCGCCTGACTCACGATACACAGACCCAATATAAACTTATATATATTTTTTTTTTCTAATCTTTCTCACGGAATAACAAATTGATTAAACCATTTTCAAGGTATAATAAATAATTTCACAATACCTTCAGAGTTAAAACTTATTCTCGTGTGTTTTCAACAATATAATTACTGTTTGTCTGCCTATCACTGTTATGTTCTCTCACTCTCTCAGCTCGTTTGTAAACACTGCATCTTCCTCTTGCCTCCAGGGTTCATGTTTTACACCCGATCACTAATGATACCTACTCCCCAGTACATACCTAACCTAACCTAACCTGACTTAACCTAACCTTACCTATCCTGATTTAATCTAACCTAACCTAAAAGACACCTGGGAGTTCATCTCATTAACGTTAATTAAGACAACAATACACTTCCATAGCCGAGTAAGAGGTAGATGTACAGCCAGGAGAGAGGGAAGCCGGGCGAGACAGTGTACAGCCAAGGAGAGACAGTACAGCTGGGAAGGAGAGACAGTGTACAGCCGGGCGAGATACAGTGTACAGCCAGGCTAGAGGCAGTGTACAACCGGGCTAGAAGCAGTGTACAGCCGGGCGAGAGACAGTGTACAGCCGAGTGTTACAACTGGTGGTCACTACACAGACACAGGTGCCGGGTTATGAACACACTTGAAACTTAGAAAGTGAGGCTGAAGGTGTTTAGTGGTGGTAATACCCGCTGTCACCTGGTACTGTAGTGTTATGTTCTTCAGCACACCCGTGGTGCACCAGCAGCTACAGTAATAATAATAATAATAATAATGATAATAATATAAGTAATAATAATAATAATATAAGTAATAATAATAATAATAATAATAATAATAATAATAATAATAATAATATAAGTAATAATAATAATAATAATAATAATAATAATAATAATAATAATAATAATAATAATAACAATAATAATAATAATAATAATAATAATAATAATAATAATAATAATAATAATAATAATGATAATAATAATAATAATAATAATAATAATAATAATAATAACAAAAATAATAAAATAATAATAATAATAAAAGTGACATTAATAAAAGCAAAAATACCAATCATACTAATAAATAAGTTGTCATGTTAACAACAGCTGTGGGTCTAAACAAGGCACCAACAATGTTTATGATCTTCACCTACCTGAACACTACTGTATCTTGAGGTGTACTGGTGTTGTAGCTCCCTGTATGACCAACACCTGTGAAGGACAGTCAGATTAGTTCCCGAAAATACTAGGGCAATACTTCGATAGAGGTGAGGGGGGGTGAGAGGGAAGGGAGGGGAGGGTGTGTGTGGGTCTATCCGATAGACCCCACACACACACACACACACACGTCTATCAAATCTGGAAGTCAAACTCACACCAGAAGAGAAATACCTACACTAGCCACCTCCTGATTACACTGCACGAGGCAATCAACAAGAATCTAATATTACAATACTTGCAATAGTTACTTAATATACAAGAATACTCGGTAAAAAATATTAAAATTGGAGTTTCAGGGGAATTCCATCATTATGTTGGCAACCATATTCAATTTAATGTCTAACTGAGCGAAGTAGATGCAATTTCACATTCCACAGTTAGGTGGGGGGAGGTGGGAGGTGGGAGCAGGAAGGATGGAGGAGGAGGGGGAGGGAGGAAGGATGGTGAAGAAGGGAAGGGATGGGGGAGGATACGGAGGGATGGGGAGGAGTAATGGCAGAAGGGTGGATGGAACGGACTGGTTGGAAAAATAAACCTTGCGAATCTCTCAGACTGAAAACCTTACATAGACTGAAGGGAAGATTATATCACTGCACTAAAGACTTTCTACCAATGATATACAAAAAGACAAATAACATAAGTGACTTTGGACTGCACCTAGAAAATTTTAAAGATAATTAAATCACCTTTTGAGAAAAATATTAAATTAACTCATATTATTTTTTCCCTCTTTTAAAAAAAAAATGACTCGCTGACATCTGGGAAGAAAAAAAGTAACTCGTACTATTTTTCCCTCTTTTATAAAATGACTCGTTGACATCTGGGAGGAAAAAAAAAATCAACAACGAGTCATGGGATATCGCTAGTGTATAAGAACGAAGGTTTGTATTATGCTGTACAAAACCTGACTGCTTTTAGTGGGGTAGGATTAAGCCGTGCGTGACTGGATCT